CACGTTCTTTTCCATTGGTCGTATACTGCAAGCCTGAAACGGTGCTCGCGCATGCGCAAAATCTTCCGAGAAGAATATTATTTTGCAAAAATTATGAATTTAAAATAAAGAGGGGTTAGAAATAGCCTATAGGCCTAGCATAGATATATATGATAAAATTCTATTGGTAGATCTCAATTCAGAAATAGGAAGCAGACCTTGCATGTAAGGTCCCCGCTGCATATAATTATATACTAGTCAGTATACAGCTGTATAACATGAATACGTTACTGTTTTAGCGCATGCCCAATATCTCACCAGAAGAGTTATATTTTGTTATGAAAACACATTTAGTATGATCAGGGGATATCTCAACAAAGGTTTCTGTAATAAATTCTTATCAGTAGACCTGTGTTTATAGTTATAGGAGAGCCCCCTAGCCTGTAGGGTGCAAAACGCCTACTTCATTCCCGCCCGCCCTTTCCCTTGTCTCCCTTGTCGCACGCTTAGCCTCCTCCTTCTTCCACCGCCCCCAGCTATCTTTCCTGCCGCCTTCCTTCAGTATCCCACCTCTCTTTCCCTCAGCAAGCTATATTACGTACTTTTCTTTAGGTCGTACTGCACGCCTGAAACGGTGCTCGCGCATGCGCAATATCTCCCGAGAAAAATAATATTTTGCAAAAATTATGAATTTAAAATGAAGAGGGGTTATCCTAGCATAGACTTTTATGATAAAATTTTATCAGTAGACCTCACTTCAGAAATAGGAAGCAGACCTTGCATGTAAGGTTCCCGATGCATATACCAGTCAGTACATAACTTGGCTACGTTACTGTTTTAGCGGATACGCAATATCTCACTAGAAGAGTTATATTTTGTTATAAAAACACATTTAGTATGGTCAGGGGGTATCTCAACATAGGTTTCTGTAATAAATTCTTATCAGTACACCTGTATTTATAGTTAGGAGAGCGCCCTAGCCTGTAGGGTGCAAAACTCCTACTTTATCCCCGCCCGCCTTTCCCTTTGTCTCCATTGCCGCACGCTCAGCCTCCTTCTCCTTCCACCGCCTCTCGACTGTCTTTCCTGCTACCTTTCCTCAGTTTCCCATCCCTCTCTCCTACAGCAACCTATATTTACGTACATTTCCTTTGGCCGTACTGCACGTCTGAAACGGTCCTCGCGCATGCGCAATATCTCCCGAGAAGAAGAATATTTTGCAAACATTATGAATTTAAAAAGAAGAGGGGTTATCCTAGCATAGATCTATATTATTAAATATAAAATATATAAATTATAATATATATTAATTATATAAATTTCATCAGTAGACCTCACTTCAGAAATAGGAAGCAGACCTTGCATGTAAGGTCTCCGCTGCATAAACCATTCCGTACATAACCTGGCTATGTTGCTGTTTTAGCGCATGCGCAATATTTCACCAGAGGAGTTTTATTTTGGAATGAAAATTCATTTAGTTTGGTCAGGGGGTATCTCAGCATCGATTTCTGTAATAAATTATTATCGTTAAACCCGATGGGGGTAGATCCGAAGTGAAATGTTGAAAAATGCATTGCTATTGTCAAAAGTGTATTCTCCATTATATTGACTCTTGTTTCGAGCTGTACTGCATATTCAGCTGTACTGCACATCCCCCAATTGCATGATTGCATAATCATTGCAAATGGGACATCATTGTAAAGGGAAATGAACAGGCTTTCCAATGATACCAAATGGAATGATAATAATGCAGGTACAAGAGAGATATCATCGATCAAACCTGAATTTCCGAACATTTTGAGGAGTGTACAGGAAAAATCTCCTAAATAAAAAAAAACCTTCAGCAGTGAACGGGTTGAGAGATACAGAGTCAAGACGGTATTCGTAGTGTCTTTCATTTTAGATACAGTGTAAACAAAAGTCTATTATTTTAGATACAGTGTTTACATTAAAAGTAGTAGCCCTCATTTGCACACCCTTCCAATTTCCATAAAATTTCAATTGTAGATGCCAATTGGCATCAAGATATTTTCTGGTATTTTAGGTACTGGAACACGCCTTAAGAGGATAACGTTTAATTTCTCATTTAAATGTCACATTATAACCAAAAATCCAATTCTGTGATATGTTTACTTTGATGAGTCTTCATTTTAAGTTACAATGAGCCTAAATTTGTTCGAAACCTCCCACGATGCTTTGCAAATGAGGGCTACTACCTTTAAAGGAAAATGGGATTCCAGTATTTTTTTTATCTCAGACTTCAGTATCCATAAAAAGAAACATGTTTTACTCAGTGAATGGTTGTAATTCCAGTACAAGTGAAAATTGTCAAGTTTAAATTTTGTTTTGAGATAACTTTAAGAGATACATAAATGTTATCATAGTTGAAGCTACCATACTTTAACACGTTAAATTCTGAATATATTGTTTACCCCCCCCCCTCCATCCTCAAAATGGATCGAAGCGCCTGATGGAATACAATCAACGATATACACGAAGAAATCGAAAAAAGCATTATTTGAAATCAAATTGAAAGTATTGAAAATTCATCGACCTCTAGTGATCAGATGATCTAGTTTATGGCATGTAAACGATACAAACAATAGTTGATACTTGCAATTAAAAAGCGCAAAAATGAACCTTTTTAGAGATCAAATATACGAAAAGTTACCTACAGTTGAACGGAGGATACCCCCCTCTCAGCTCCCCGTCGGCCGCTTCGCTTCCTCGCAGGCTCTTAAACCACGTCTGGTCCCCCCACTTTTTAAAATGGATTTGCGTCCCTGATAGGTGTGCGTTAGTGTGCGAGCGTGTGTGTGTGTGTGTGTGTGTGTGTGTGTGTGTGTGTGTGTGTGTGTGTGCTTCACTCACTTAACGATGGCTGGGTCAATGCAGACGTCAAAGCCGATGCCACCAGAACTAGTCATTTTGCTCTGATTTATATCCTGGCTGTGGAAACATGGCCCGGTGATGTTTAACCGCTTCACGTGAACGATAATCGAGTAATCTCCGACGATAAGCTGAAACATACCAATATCGTATAATATTTATTTTACTGGATATTATATCCTGCGTATAGACATGTTTGTGTGTGTGTGCGCGCGCGCGTGCGTGCGTGCGTGCGTGCGTGCGTGTGTGTGGGTGTATGTGTGTGTGTTATGCGTGTATGCGTGCGTGCACGCGCGTGCGCGCGTGTCACCTATAGCGGTAGACGTTCCGTACCGATACCGTGTAATACCTTAAAGTGTGTGCGATCCAGCCTTTCTATTTCAACATGGATTTACTAATAAGTCTGTTAATACTTTGATCATCTGTATCGTGTCATGTGTATAACGAACGACGGACTTCACTGTAAATCACAGGAGCTGTTAATAACACGTATTAGATACAAAAACAAAACGTTGCTTGCGCATCTCAAACGTATAAAGGTGCGCTATAAAATACGGTCTTGCTACCGAATTACTTCAATTGCCGTTATCTTAATATCAATTAATTTACAATTAAAACTCACCTGAAGATGAAGACTCATGACGAAGCAGGAAATTAAACTCAAAACCACCGAATACATAATAAAAAGCACCGGGTTTTCCTTCTACCGTCCGCAACCACCAACGTTCGTTACGCTATATAGTTAGGCCTACACTAAGAACACGTTTCGCAAATAGAACGTAATACTCGTGTCATTCTCGCAATCACGGGCACATATCTACGTTTAAATGCTAACGATTACTATTGATGATGATATTTTGAATCGTTTAGTATAAATCCACAAAACCGTCGTTAACCACATCCACGCATCGTTCACCGGCGCAGGCGACAAACTAAAATAACACCATCGTGTTCCATTCGTTTATATCATAAAGCAGAACTGCGAATCAATCACGCTCCTGCTGGTCTGTGATTAACTCCACAGCAGGGTTTGGATAACCATATTGATTGAGCATGCCTCCGTAAACAAAGATGGTAACTAGGAAATATAACCACGCAGAAGGCAAAATGGGAAAATAGGAAAGCCACTGGTATAACTCAATTGTAGATCGCAGACACTAATTCGACATATGTGTCAAAAACACATTTCTTTCTGAATGCCAAATTATCATCAAAGGAACAATTTCCTCCCGAAATGTAGCACATTTTTGTGCCGCATGGTGCCTACCATGCGGATACTTCCCCGGAGAAAACGGGGAATTATCTTTCACCAGCCAGACTTCAGGTGACTTTTCAGGAGACTTTGCAGGAGACTTTTCAGGTGACTTTCAAAACTCAAAACAGGGAGTCACAAGAATAATAACATTATTAAATAATACGTAATGCGAAATAAACAACACTTAAAAAATACGGCAGGATGAAACAAAGTTATACAAGACGCAGGTGTAGGCCTACGACCAGTTTGAACGTATGAGATCGGCCGAGGAAAATTATCTTGGTAGTCAACGGTGACCGACGTCGGAGCGCCATTTTTATGTACATTGGCATAGACGGAACCCAGGGCGTGATGCTGCGAGCAAAGTGAATATTAAAGATCGGGTTTTACCATGCACACGTGCCGTCGGCCCGCGTGCGACCAGTTTGAACGTATGAGATCGGCCGAAAAAAATTATCTTGGCATTCAACGGTGACCGACGTCCGAGCGCCATAGTCTGTACATTATAGCTAGGCACATAAATTGTATCCATAGGCGGATGATTGTGGCGGGAGCTGCGACTAAAGTTAAATGTTTAGATAATATTTTACCATCTATCCCCTGCCTACCCCTGCCAATTTTGAGCGCCTAATACCGGCCGATATAGGCGAATAAATAATGGTATGATAATGCTACTACTATCCAAATTATCAGGAGTCTATCAAGACTCCTGAAAATGAATCATATTATGAAAATTAAATATGAATTATAAATGAAAAAAAATTTATGAATGAAAATTATCATATTACTACATTACTATTAAACATTTATGACTAATGTGTTCGCTGGGAGGCGCCACCGTCCAATTCCCGTGTCGCAGATATGCCTGTACCATGCTCTCGTACGGTTGTATTGTGAAGTGTTCTAGTCTCACTCTCACAAGTGACACTACGAGTACGAGTCGTGTGGAAACAGTGAGACTACCTAGACTTGTTTGCGACGACTCAGTCGGTATATAACCATAGGCAATACCGCCTTGACTCACTGCTACCGAGATGGGTGACAAGGGCCTTATTGAACATGTGATAGTCAATCACCGATGGGTGTTTGTGTGTTTGTTTCTGCTGCCGATGTCGGTGGTTTATGACTTCGTGTTTTACCTTAGAAACTGGATTGTTTTTAAACTGTCTAGTGCGCCAAAACGACACCAGCAGAGAGTAGCTGATGTACAAACGCAGGTGAGTATAACTGGTGGGACGTACGTGCGCTATCTGAGACTATAGTTTAGCACCCCGGATTAGTTTAGCGCATAGTTATAACTCAAGAAAACTGTCATGGATTAGGCCTAGATATGACATGTTATTCTCACAGCCACCTCATGATGATAGCATATACTATGGCCAATAGTCATAGGGTCTATGTCCCCCACTGTACTGCCGGAGCGTACCCTGGGTACGGTCCGGTATACGTACCCTGGTAACTCTCTGATATGGTTAGGCCCGGGTTAGGGAGTAGGCGTAGGCGACTCCCTAGACTCGTTAGTGGAGTAGGCGAGGTACGGTTCGGCATATTAGATAGTACCAGGGTACGTTCCGGTATACCGGACCGTACCCAGGGTACGTTCCGGCAGTACCACGGGGGAAATAGATCCTCTCACTCTCAGCCCTACACTACACTCTACAGTACAGTGACAATGACATGTCATGTCTCATGAGTCACATATTCACCATGAACCATAAATAATAACATTTAAACATGAAAAACACGTATTCCGTCATACTATCATCATATACTACTAAATTGAGTACTATAATACAACTATCCGTAGTACTAGCTTAACATATAATAGTTAGCTTACCGAGCGCGTTGATGATCACATAAAGTGTGCTGTAGCAACAGGTAGCATACGTCACGTTACGACTAAGTCCATGCCAAGCGAGGCCATGCCACCGTGCGGTCGCGAATCCGAATAAAACATTATTCTACGTCTATTCTTATTTATTTTATTTGTTGACCCAGAATACAGTTTTGTTGGGCAAAAATTTAGTTTTATATTAATGACAGTACGTAGTAGAGGAGTTTGAATAATTTGTAAACATATGCAATGATGACGAAGAACGACAAGGGTTTGAAGTAATTTCAGCTATCCGTCAAAGAAGCATGAATGTCGTCTAAGTGTATTGTTCAGCAAATCGCACGCGCGTAGGCCACCGAAATAAGAGAATTTTTGTCTACGTCAAATGCAAGACGTAACATTGATCCCTTCTGTAATAGTACTAAAATCTCTCCTTCTTAGAGAAAATACATGGCCTGTACCCATAATGACGAAGTGCGGCATTGAACCCGCCCTTTTTAGCCCGAAATACTCAACCTCATGCATGCCTATTTTCGGCCCATGCATCAGCCGCGACTTGAAAACTTTCGATC